TGGTTTTAGCTATGAAAAATGGGGATGAAAATAATACCTGCCTCATAGAAAAGTTGTGAGAAAAAAATTGGATAATCCATGGGACTCACTCTGCACACTGCCTGGTATACAGCAAGCACCTCAGACACTGTTATGTTTTTACAGCAACATGTCTTTGAGGGTTTGATATCCTGGTGTTGGTAATTTTTCACTTTATTTTTCAAAATTAAAAAAAAAAGAAATTCCTGAGGTAGAACATTAAAATGTATTTCAGAGGGTAAGAAAAAGAGGCTCACTATGATACTGGATTACTTAGAGATATAAAGCCTGTTATTCAAGGTTCCAGATGTTTAGAAAATGGCTTATCTTTTAGAAGATTCTCTGACTCGAGCCCACTTTGATGTGTAGCTGTGAAACATTAACTACATACACAGTACAGTGTAGTAGTTAAGAACACAAGCTGGAGAGTTAGGCTACCCAAATTGCAATCTCAGCTCTGTCATGAATTAGTGTGGAGACTTTGAGGGAACAGCTTAAAGGCTCATGCCTCAGTTTTCTCATCTGTAAAATGGGGATAATAGAAATACTTTCTTCGCAGGGTTGTTGTGAAGATTAAATGAGCCTCCACCTAAAAAAGCAATTTAATAACACCCTACCCGGTGCATTTTTTTAAGAGGTCAAGAAATGTCCTGGGAGAAAAGAAATGAATCTGGGAAATTTAATTCTTCATCTTCCGCTTCAAGCCAGAAACTTGGCAGTTACCCTAGAATCCGATCTCTCCCTCTCACATCCTACACACAATCCACTGCCAAGTTCTACTGAGTCTTCCTCTAAATATCTCTCGTATGCAACACCCGCTTCTCCATTGGCATCATCTCTGCCCTGGTTCAGACCCTCAGCATCTCTCATGCCTGCATCACCGTCGGTGCTTCCTGACGGCTTTCCCAGCTGCTGTCTGCAACACTGATGCTTGAGGGATGGTTCTAAACTCAGAAAATTCTTCGGTCTCCTCTCCCTACCATCACCACCAAAGGTGATTTAAGTCCGTCTCTCCTTTGAGCAGGTTAATTTCCAATCCCGTAAGATGGCAAACAAAGACTTTCGTGATCTGGCCCCTGACTACTTTTCCAGCCATTTTTCCTGCCATATACTCATGTCCCCTTTTCTCCAAAATACCGTTTGTTTCTCACACACCTGAATGTTCTCTCATACTTGAACAGCTGTGGGCCTGGGATTCCTGTCCTTCTGCTTGTCTATCTCGCTCACTCCTCCTCCAAGGTTCAGCTATGCTGAGAACCTTCTGTGAGCCCATTCGAGTTGAACTGGGGGTCTTACTGTGGCTCCTTATCTGTAGGGTATCTAATGGTGCTCTTCTCTTCCTCCCCGCTCTGCAGGGAGCTACCATACCGTTGCCACTCTGCCTTGTTTAGCTTTGTCTCCAATGGGGAATGCAACGGCTGATGCCAGAAATCACTCAATAAATATTTACTGAATGAATGCACGAATGCAGAAATGAAGCCGTGAAATAGTCACTCCTGCTTTGCCACTGAACAGCTGTATGAGTTTGACACCAATATCAGAAAGGATATTAATCACAGAATTAACTGCTACTTTATCCTGGTATATTCCTGTGTCAGTCATACAGAGAGAGAAGGGAATTCCATAAATGTTTCTTTTTTTTAGTATAAATTTTCATGAGTCACCTCAAAGTTGTTGCTTTTTTTTTTTTTGACAGGATGTATTAAGTACATACAAGCCTACATAAAAAATACTGAATAAATAAAGGTCGATTCTCCTAATACTCCTCAATATTGAAATGTATGTTATAGCTCATGTGGAGAGAGGGCAAACCATGTAGGTAATATGGCACCAGAAGCCAACAGCAACAAGGAAAGTATGGGGCTGAAGAGCGTTTGTGAGTCTAACCCTTGTGGGTTCATGGTGGCTTGGACCCTCTACTGACCACCACCTGTGCGCCAGGGACCTGCTGGGTGCAGGAGATACAGAGTTCCTCCCTGCAAGTTGCTTAGTGAGGGCACAGATCCAATACGGACCCACCCAAAGGTGCTGTCTACCTTTGTCATGCCTCCCACTTGCTGCCAAACTAAGTCCCTCAGGAGAGAAGGAGGATGAAGGGGGACATATATCAGGGAAGGGCAGTGGGAAGTGTGGGTAAGGAACTTTTACACTAGATACGCATTGAAACTTTTTTTTTCTGCTTAAAGTCAGAAAACTTAATGATAAATGATTAAGGGTTCATCTATCTAGACGAATTTCCTTTCAACAAACAGGAAGATTTTCTTTTTCTTGACACGAAAGTTGTGATGCCAATAAGAAAATATATCATTATTAAAATTCAACTAATTATAAATTCCTAGAAGTTTCCTACTTTTTGACAGCTAATCACTTATTCGTGGTTCTCAATATTCAAAATATCCAAATGTACAACTCACTGGGTTTAAAAACACTGATGAAACCTGAATCCTATGTTCATTTGACACGTGTATTATGATTTGATTATAATGCTTAGTAACGTCCCGTACTGTAGGATTCTGTGTCACAGAGATATAATCAAGAAAAGTTCACCTTCGGCTTGCTCAAACCTGAACTGCAGGGGTACCATGAGTCAAATTCCTTATTTTATAAACTAGATACTCTTAAGTTTTTCTTCTGTGTTTGGTGATTTTATGAGAGTGCTCACTCTTCCCTTATGTAATTAAAAGATCCTAGAGGATATTTCTGCATATGAGGAAGAGCAGTGATTCCCATAGCAACCCACAACGTATTTAAAAGCAGCTTTTCCAATTGACATGGGGCTGACAACATGCAACAAAGTAGCCCAGAAGCCTGAATTAGGATTTTAGGAAAAGGTAGGAAAAAGAAACTCAAAGTTGAAACAATTCACTCTGGAGAGAGTAAGTGTTACATATGCTATGTCACGAAGGAGATCTAGATTGTGTCTTCAAAGTCGTTTAATCTTAACTTTGCAAATTAGAAGCAGTCCATGCGATCATTTGACTATGAATTAAATCTTCTGTAATACAGGTACCTTTGATAGGGAATATACACACTATATTGTGTTATGGATTAACAAGCGCAACAGCAATGAAAGTGTTATCCACCAGCCCCTTTCTGGATCTCCTCTGTGAGTGCCCCGAGAACAAAACATTTAAATCTGCCTGCACGTTGACAATAGCGATATTGATATTTCTCCATGCTCCCTTCTGGTTGCTAAGAGATTTACATTGGACAGACTCTGTTGTACTCATAACAAAGCATTTTGGTCCACAAAGCATTTGCTTCAGCTCAGTGACCCCAGAAACTCCCTTTGCCTCACCCCTTCCCTCTTTTGCTTCTAAGTCAAATTGGGGGACGAGGCACAAGCAACGGACCTGGCATTGCTCCCACAGGAAACTGCTATCCATAAGCCTGGCTTGGCTAATAACTCTTAAGTACACTATCGACATCAATGATGAAACTGTATCTTTATACAGATGTATGTTCCTGGCCTCGTGTTTCTCAGAAGCTAGCTTACCATGGAGTTGGGGTGGGGGGGAGATGTGCAGAGAGGGGTCAAAACTACAGTGACCAACCCACAGACAAACCTAACTTCAGTAAAATTAGACCAGAACCTAGCAAACCATGGCGATCTCACAACAGCTCTGCTGTGCGAGGCTTTGAAATACACTTGCGGAGAATTTCCTCACTTAAGCTTGTACTTCCATGAAAATACGTTCAAGAAGTTTATTTACAAGAATCCCGAAGCAGGAACCATCTATATTTAACATCTTGCAGCAAAACCACTGCAGCCCTCCAAACTCAGTCTCAGAAAGTCTGCCAGGTAACAAAAGGCAGAGGGTAGATCCACACTTGGAAGAAAATGGCAAAGGCACCGAAAATATTCATGCTCACTCCTGAGAAAACGGGCATGTGGCGGATGAAATCTGCATGTCATTTGCCAAGCACAGGCATCACTGCTCAAAGCAAATGAAGATGCTCTTTCCTTTGGGAACTCTCACAAAGAGACATAAAAATGCTTTATGACCTATTCAGGTCACAGAGTTTTAGTCAATTTTTATTAATTGTCAAGGAAGAAAAGTGCTTTGGGGCCTCACTCCCCCGGTCGCTTTCTAGGAGTCATATTTAAGGGCACAGCCACCAAACAGTAAGTACTCCCAGGCTGTAATAAAACACAACTGACCTAGAATAGTCCTCCTATTTGCTCCCTTGCATTGGAACATCAGTAGAGGAGGATCGATGCCCATGCTTTGATCCAAAGCAATCAGTGTTGAAGGCTGCAAGTCCCTGCCCTGTCACGGGAATTCCTGCATTCAGGATAATCACTCCCAGGCAGCACAGAAAGACCAGCCTCTCTGGTTTTAGCTGCACTTAACAAAAGAAAGTTATTTCCAGCAGTTTATGTCCATTGCACAACCTACCTAAAAGTACCTTATAGAAACGAGAGGCAGAGGGAGAGAAGAAACAAACAAACAAACCAAAAAAAAAACAAAGCGGGAAGTGACTTTTCTGTTACATCTTTAAGGTCACAGATCTGCCTGAGAAATGCACACATGTGACACAGTTCTAGCACAAAAGCTCCTTTTCCACGAGACAGAACTGTAAGAAGTAAAAAGGCTCGTTCTCCAGCCTCTCCCTCAATCCTAAGCCACCGCAGTGCATTTCACCTTGACCGGGCTGGAAAGAAACTCCTTTTAACTCCCTTGCAACTCCTTTCTGTGTCATGGAAGCGTGCCCATGCCTATGTAAAGTGCAAGGCTTCCGCATGAGCACTGCAATCATCCCCACACAGGATAAAATCTTCCCTTGTCTTGCCCACCCTACACCGGTTGTCCACCATAGGGTTTCTATCGTCTGTTCCCGACTTACACACCCAACTTACACACCCAATTTACACTCCACACAGCATGTAAAAATAGCCCCGAATGCTTCTAACGGATGCCAAGAGGAGATTAAAACAAAAAGGATCCAGGCAAGATCTAGGCGCTGGCATACATAGCTACCTTTTTCTTCCGATCCCGGGACCGTTTGCGGTGTTTCCTTTTTTTCTCAGTCTCTTCTTCAGCATTGATTTCTAAATCCCTGTTTTTCTTTAATTGTGAGGCTGCATGAGCCATAATGCATTGAAAAAGATCCTCTCAAGCACGCAGGGCTTCCTGGTAGAAGGTGATATCTTCAGGCACCTTTAATCAGCCTTCCAGCAGCATTTCAATCAGTGGAGAGAAACCTTGGACCCGAAGCAGGAAGACATTCAAAATGCCAAGATGCTGGGGAAGCTGAAGCCTTAAAAACCCCAACGGCGGTCTCCAGACTTAATCCTACACCTCCCTCTACCTGAACCTTTACACGAGAGTGCAGCCATCGTAATGCATTTAGCGTAGTGAAAAAGACAGCTGGGACAGAGGAAGCTGTATTATGGCTGTATCCCCTGCCACCAGCTGGAAGTGTCTAAGTGATTCCTCGGAAGGGGGAATGCTGCAAAGGAGGCTTCTCCGAAAGGAAAAAATCAAGAGTCACCACACATGCAGGAGCAAAAATCCAGCACTAATTCTGAAAACCTATTTTAGAATCCTTCGAAAAAAAGACAGGGCTGCAATTTATACATCACCACTAGGTCTGCACAGAGCAGAATTTAACCCATAATAGAATGGAGCAGTTCCTACTTTAGTGTCACTGCGGATGGTGACAAAATATATAAAATAAGGTTTTACACAAGACACTCGATTTTGCTATGGAGATACTGACTGCATGATGGGGAAAACAATGCATGCATTGCCCGTCTCCACAGGGTGTCCTTTATGCTGAACTATCAGCCTAAATGCATTTTATGGGGGAGGATGCACAGAGGGGCCTGTTGTCTCTTAAAAACAACATGCTGATTGCAACACATCATACAGCAAGCCGTGAGCATGCCGGTGTATGGAACAGATGCCTGATTCGGAGGAGTCCCCAGGACCCCCCTCTCCTGCGGTCCGAGGGTCAGAGAATGGGAAATCTGTGCTGTAGTCAGGGGTTCTGAGTCGCTGAAATGTGGACTTGGCGTTCATGTCAGGGGGTGTGCTTCCATCACCTTACTATTTTTGCCACCTGAGTCCTCAATGACTGCAGCCTCTGAATATTCATGATGTGAAATAAAGTAGCAGCAGTGCTCAAGGCCTGCTGGGCTATCTTCTGCTAGGATGGACACACGCACTGGAAGAAATTTACTCAGTCAGGAACCGTTCCCACACACAAACACATGGTACCCACGCAGCTTTAGCAAGAAATGGCTGAAATGTCAGACTGGACCTAAAACCTTTTGGGTCCTGGTGAGAGAACCTAAATCCACCCAGAAAATGAGCAGGAAGGAAAAAGATGATGCTTCATTGAAAAGATTCCGTGTGTGTGCTTCTAACACTCAAGGCCCTTGATTTTGGAGATCAGTGCATTTGACTTTGCAGGACTGGCTGTTAAAAGGTGTGGAGACTGAAGCACAAGCGCAGAGGTGTTGTGCGAGGATGTGGTTGGGGGTCTCTGGAGCTGCTGCCCACCTACTTCATTAAGGGCCCCAAATGTGAATTCCTGCCAACGACTACTCACTGTATGTCTGATTTGGAGATCAAGGGCCTTCCTCCTTCCTCCCTTGCAGGGGGTCTTATTTTCCGCTGGGCAGTGACAGAAAATGGAAGGGAAAGGAGGACCATGGCCATGACCTTCCACTACCAGGGGACTGCATGCTCCTCTCGGGCCTCACTGCAAACCACATGAAAACCACTCTGGTCCAACATTCCCGAGGGCCTACTGCGTGCACTGATGCTCACGCGCTTGCCTTCCCACAGAAACTATCTACATGAGGGAAGAATCCTGGAAAGGTCCTCCACTGCCTACAAAACCAACATCTGACAAAGGGGGGAGGGGGAGGAAGGTGGGGGACGAAATGTGACTCAGATCCAAAAGTGATAAACTCTATTTGGATCTTCATAATAAAAATTAAGTGTGTTTTTTGTCAGAAGAATTTTTATTGTAATAGCAATAGGCGAGGCGGAGAAAAGAATAAAAAGTAAAACTTTTGTATGCTTTCTCCTGATAGAAATCATTCTGGACTTGTGAAGAGCATTTGTACAATTTCCTTTCCTTATTTTCAGTAAGCTGAAGTGGACAGGCAGCTTAAAAACTGGCTGATTTCCTACTGGCTCCAGGACCTTCCTTTTTTTCTTCCTTTATAGACACTAATGATACTTTAAAATATATTTATAAGCACCCTTGACCTTCTCCATCTAAGGCTGGCAAAGCTATACTTTCCCATTGATCTCTACCAGCAAAAGCATAGCTGGAAATTAGGAAAACAGGCTCAGGTATTTTTCAACTGGAATAATTCCTTGCTTTCCCCAAATGTTCAGAAGTTGAGAATCTGTCACAACTTTTACGCTACCATAATATGAATTTTTTGTTACATTGGAGTTTGTGGTAAGTGACTGACCCACCAAAAATAAATTCTAAGACATAGCTTGTTTAGATTTTCTTCCTTAAAGAAAATAGGGGCTTTTGTCCGCCATTTCTAAACTAGACGAACTTTAAACAGCATCACTGCCAAGGAGGGCAGCCCTGTGAGTCCTAGATTTGATGGTAATATTACTAAAAGCGTAGTCACCTTCTCCCTACCCAGCACACACCCTGGCAGGTAACTCTCATGCTCCTGGTATACTGACTCTCAACGCAAAGGCACTTACCCAAGATTGTCACAAATATTAGCTTTTATTCCTCCCAAACTGAACTGACAGTTCTGTCAACAATTCTAGAAAGCAAGACCTTATGATAGCTGAAACAAACAAGAAAAGAAGAAAACTTCATTCTTTGGCTGAAGTTTTATAAAACGTTTCCACTTCAGTCTCAAGAGACTGTTGTCTTCTGGGTGATGAGCAAATTAGTATGAATCTTCAAAGTAAAACTGTGCAGCTGGGGCTTCCCTGGTGGCGCAGTGGTTGAGAGTCCGCCTGCCGATGCCGGGGACACGGGTTCGGGCCCCGGTCCGGGAAGATCCCACATGCCGCAGAGCGCTGGGCCCGTGAGCCATGGCCGCTGAGCCTGCGCGTCCGGAGCCTGTGCTCCGCAACGGGAGAGGCCACAAAAATGAGAGGCCCCCGAAACCCAAAAAAAAAAAAAAAAAAAAAAAAAAGTTTCCTCATCATCTTGTTCAAAATAATTCCTGATTTCTTACCAGCACTGACAGGTTTCATCGAGCGTTCTACTTGTCCATGCGTTATTAGAGCATAAAACTAGCACAAAAAAGTAAAAATCACTTTCCAGTTTGGCATCTCGAGTAATGGTTATACCCCCCCAAATAAATTCTAATCCAGGAATCAAAACACTGTGACTAAATATGCCAATGAAAATAAAACCAAATCAATACACTAGACGTTTTCCCACTGCCAGTGGACTGTTTTCCCCTTAGTTCTGGCAAACTCCTTGCCAGGGTTCCAAGACAAGCTTTGACTATTCTTCAGTCAATTAAACTACTCTTGGTTGTCATTTTATACTGTGTCTCCACATGGCTGAGCTGAGCTGACACACAAACAACAGTGTATTTGATTTCTGTGGAGGTGATACTGTCACTTGGTGATCTTGAAGTTCCAATAGTTTCAAAGTGCACTTTGAAAAAAAATATGACATAGCGATGTGGAGAAGTGGAGGGTGGGGAGTATATAGAAGAATGGGAAATGCGAGCAGGAAGAAAATGAAAAAGAGCGATTCTTCCAGTCACCAGGGAGGCTGCAGCATCCCAACCCTGCCCCCGGCTCTTGATAATGAGGAAAGTGCATGTTTTGATAGGCTGACAGCTATTTCGTGCTGCACCCACTTCAGTTCTCTTAGAAGCAGACCAGCCTCACCATAAGAGAGTCAAAATATTTTTCCTTCAGAAAGAAAAATGGATCCATTGTCATTGCATTAATTTTGGGGCCCTAGATAAAGATGATGTCAAGAGATCTTGAGCGGGTTCTGAACAACGTGGGGAACAAGAAAGAAAAAAGTACTAAACCTGTCAGTGGTTATAAATGACAAAAAGGCACCCTAGGAAATGCTTAACTCGTAGTCACAGACGATTCTTCATTTTCAGATGAGACACATGAAAAAAGAAAAAAGGCGGTGACTAAATCACACTGAGGGATTGGTGGTCCTTTCCACACTCCTTGTAGGAGCAGCACCTTTGGATAAATGAGCGCTGGCCTTGGTTCCATCTGTCTTTGCACTCGGTCTGCCCTCCGTCCCTGGAGCAGGCTGTCTGTCCAACTCACCAGCATGACCTCAGCCTGGAGCCAGCCAGCTGGTCCAAGCTGCCAGCTGCCTCTGCCACCTCCCATGGGCGGCAGGGGTAGGCGGCCGGGGACGGCTCCCCTGGGGCCCACTGGCTGGCAGAGAGAAGGGAATCCCTGGCTGTGCACGGAAGATCCCCTGCAGGCACAGGCCCCGGACTCTATCCCTCCCAAAGGAGGGAGCTGGCACTGCCTGGTGGAGGAGTGAGCGAAAAGCCGGCACTGAGAGCTGTGGACAATCGTACTGGACAAGCCACTTCTTCTCTGCGCCCCTGGTCCTATAGGAGGAGCAAGTGGGACCAGATGACCACAAAGACACCCACTCCGGAACGCAACATGCAGCGATCTGAAGTGGTAGAAGGTGGTGGGTGTTTGAAAAAAAAGGAAGATATATAGAAAAGGTTTATTTAAGAAGAGCTTACACTATTATATGTACAGGATAAATAATGAGGTCCCACTGTATAGCACAGGGAACTATAGTCAATATCTTGTGATACACCGTAATGGAAAAGAACATGAAAAAGAATATATGTACAACTGAGTCACTATGCTGTACAGCAAAAATTAACACGTTATAAATCAGCTATACTTCAATAAAATTTTTAAAAAAGGAAAGAGTTTACAATCTGGGCTGGCCAAAACAGTAGCCACCAGCCACATTTAGTGACTGGCAATAAAATAGTACTAGTGTGACTATAGAACTGAGTTTCTAAATTTTATTTAATTAAGAAATTTAAATTTAAAAACATTCTCCATTCAGATACTGGAACAAATTTAAGTGTTGGAACAATTTGGATATGTGAATCTACTATTTCAACTTTCAATTTTATGAAATAAAATACAGGTCAAGTATTCCTGATGATAATTTAGGACCCACATTGAGATATAAAATACACACTGGATTTCAAGACGGTATGAAAAAAAGCAATGTAAAATATCTCAGTAATAATTTTATATATTGATTCATGCTGAAGTGAGAATATTTGGATATGTTCAGTCAAATAAAATATATTAAAATTAACTTCACTTTTTAAAAAGGTTTTTTTTAAAAAAATTATTTATTTATTTTTGGCTGCTTGGGTCTTCGTTGCTGCGCATGGGCTTCCTCTAGTTGCAGCGAGCAGGGGTTACTCTTCGATGCGGTGTGCGGACTTCTCATCGCGGTGACTTCTCTTGCTGCGGAGCACAGGCTCTAGGTGCACGGACTTCAGTAGTTGGAGCACATAGGCTCAGTAGTTACGGCATGCGGGCTCTAGGTCACAGGCTCAGTAGTTGTGGCACATGG